GGCTTGGCAAGGCTTTGTGGAAGAGGAGGTGGAAGGTGGACAGATCAACACGTCTGCCCCATATGTTGGGCTGTGCCGGTGGAGAAATCTGCCCGAGTGCTGCAGGTGCGACCACGAAATCCCTTCACCACATCAGCGAGCGCTCCTTGGGATCCCATGCGTCTTTATTAGGACTGCTGCTTTGTTCTAGGAGAGGGGCCTGAGAAGGGCACTAAATATCTGAAGAAAACTAGAACCTGTTTCAAATTAACCGATTCTTTATTATCTGATCATTTGGTTGAACAGAATTCACAATTTTGGCTTTTCTTCATTTGCCTTAGGCACGCAAAGTGCTAACCTGATCAATGACTGCCACTTATTTTATTAGTTAGTTAGTTCATTGTTGGCTACTACAAATCAGGAAGCAAAAAGGCAAGTCTGGCCTGCGTAATCAGATGTTTGAATTTAGCATTCTGAAAATCCTTTTACTTCTGTGCTGCACAGCACCACAAACTCATAAAACACCCAAAAATCCAGTGTAGCACGCAACAGCTGTACTGCATAATTACTTGGCCCTATAGCAGTAGTTTTAAAATACTGGTATATCTGTTGCAGGCCACCATACATTATCATCTCATTTTCAATAAAAAGTCTGAGATGTTTCAGATGAGCTCCAGTGGAATTAGAATCATGTGTGCTTTGAAATATTTATGCTTGCCTTGAGATGGAAGGATAATTCCTGCCTCCAACCTCCCCCCCACATAACAGATTTAATAACGCCAGATAGCCCAACTCCTCCGTACCTACAGCAGGTAGGAATGAAGTTCTGATCTGGAGCACACATATTTTCACAGGTTGTAGAACTTCTATTTTATGTCATTTAGTGAGGTCAGTAATAAAATATAAATGTCACAGGCTGAAAGACGCCAAGAGAAATATGGTTTGGCAGCATGGAGCTGCTTAGGGATACATAAATAATAAGTCAATAAGTAAATAAATAATAGACAAAGACCTGTTTTATCTTCCATTTGAAGATCTCAAAGAATTTACAGTCTCTGATTGAGACTTGCAATATCCCGTCAGAAGCACATAAGTAGTAATAGCCCCTTCTCATACACAGGCGTGGCTTTCAGAAGCAATGACTTTATGATTCTTATGAAGCATTTCTGAAAATCATGACTGAAGTGGCTTGTGCATGGTCACTTGCCCCTTTTAGAAGCAAACAGGGGAAATAGCGACCTGCTGCACTACCTCCTTTAACGGATTAAAGATGTCTGTGAGGATCCATGTATTCGGAAACACGGCTGTGGTGTGCAGTCAGGACTTGTTCAAAAGGCCCTTTTTGCATGCACCAGAGCTGGTGACCACAACACAGCTATCGTGGTAATGGCCTGTGTCTGGGCCAGCCCTTTTTAGACTTTAGTGTTTCATTCCCTCTCTCCAGTATATGGCAGGCACGCTTGTAATGCTGATCAATTTAATGGTGGTAGATTCTTCCTCTTATCAAGCAGCCCTTCCTTTTGCCACTTGAGAAGTTCAGTATTTCCCAGTCAGAAACTGCAAAACCAAACCTTTTGGAGATCCTCATTCTGTTCCTTACCTCTTCTGCCAATCTCTGCTCTGAGAAAATGATCCCTACCGTCAGCGTCCGGCACAGGCTGAGGACTGATGCCCACGTGGTCTTGTTTCCTTCCCCCATCAGCAGAAAGCCCTTCGAGGCGGTTCTGAGGAGTTGGCCAAGACTCCATAGGGGAACCTCTTTCTCCTTGTTCATTGCCTTCCTGAATTATTCTTGGTCATCTCTCCATTCATTTTCTTCTTTCTCTCTTTGAGAAGACCACCAACAAATGCTTTCCACTTTGTTTTCTACCCTGACATGCTGAGGATGTCAAGGCAACCGAGAAGGACCCACTACCTACATGTCTATGAGTATTTCTAATAACCATAACATCTTTCATACAGCAAATCAAATTATTTGAAGAGCTATACCTTGGAAAAGCTAAATACAGTGTGGTCTCAGGCCTAGCTTTGAATTTCCACATGTTCCCAGGGTACAATTTTTTATTCCTTTATGTTTGACTGAAAAAGCATTCCTATCTCCTTCTCAGCCAGCAGAAGAAGAGGAATGAATTTGTTCCCAGATGTGCACAAAGGGCAGCGCAATTGCGCAATTTCAAATAGCATTAACAGGGATGGTGCTAAAATGAATCTTTTTAAATAAATGTTTAAAATATCCCAATCTGTTTTTTACTTAATCAGATATTTGCCACGTAAATTTTCATTTCTCACTTTTATCTTCATCCTTCATCTTCCATTTGGCGTACAAGGAAAGAGGGATCTATAAAAGGAGATATGCAGGAAGAGAGGAAGAATGTTTCCTATCCCAAAGTTTTGCATCAAAATGCTTACCACCGACTTTAGCTGAAGCAATATTCCTAGCAAAATATTTTGACAAGCTCCGAAGCGACTGTTGCTTCCGGGAGGAGGTGATGACACGTCCGTACTTGTGGAGAGGCCATGACGTGTCTTTCAAGCAGCTACGCCTCAGGGGTTGGTGCAAGTGAGATCAGAGGCTGATGCTCTGGGTGGAAATCACCTAAATGAAGATGCATGTATAGACTGTAAGTATCTTCCTCTGTGCTAGTACTGGTGGGCTCCACCACATCCACTGGTGGTCCATGGAGTGTCATCAAAGGCAATGGTCTGGTTTTGGATGAGATGAACGGCTCCTTAGACACCATGAGTTCTCTTTATTTCCCCATTGACTCTAAGATAACCAGCCCCATGGTAGACACCCACATTTACTGAGGTGAATCCCACATTATATCAACCTTTAACAGCACACTTCAAAGTTACAGCCTCTCCCAGCAGCTTGGGGACAAGAAAATAGCCTTTGTTTCTTCCTTTGAAGATTTGGGTTCTTTATCTGAAGAGTTTTCAAATATACTCTGATATAATATGCAAACTCAGAACAAAACTATTTGTCTTAAAAGCGAGTAAGAAATAATTAACTAGGTTTGTAAAAAAACAGCCGAGAGATAAGGCCAGATGTGCAGACAGGTTGAACAGGCCGGGCACACAGGTGTTTGCCTTGGCCATGGAATTACTCAGCATTTCCATAAGGAGGAGCGTGGGATGTGCCGCTGCCTGTTCCCGTTTCCCAAGCGCAGCCTTGTGTGGCTCTGGGAAGGCACCGTTTCCCAGTTCAGCCCACAACACCAAGCTGTTGGCAGACTGGTATTGCCCCTGTTTTCGGATACATCTGCTTTGAGCAGAGGCAGTTGAAGGCTGCACGTTATCTTTTGGTTCCTCATCCATGCTTGCTTCCCGTGGTGTTTTCCCGTTGAGTCCCACACATTTGATATGCGTCTCTCTTGCTGTTGTGAATGTTTTAGATGGTATTAAGGGGAGCAGACTGGGGTTAACAGGGGGAGTTTTTCATGGCAAGGGTGAGAGCTTCATATCCATCCCATATCAGCACCCCAGGCATGAGCGCAGTCTTTTTTTGGTGGTGGTGTCAAAGCAATCATTCCTATGCAGTCATGAAGAAAGAAGTACATAGAAGTGCTGCCCAGCCAACCCTCACTGAATGTTTATAGGATAATGTAGTACGTTTCCATGCTGCTTGATGTTTTATCCACATCTTCAGGCTCCGAGTTTCCTAATGGTTTAATAATGCTTAAGACAAAAATTAGTAACAAAGTGACGTATTATTAAACTGGCGACGAACAAGACTAAGAAGCAGATTTTAGCTTTTATTTAACTGAGGGCTTTTCATAACATTTGTCATGAAATGAGTGTTCACTCGTTTGTATCTGATTTTAGTTAACTTTCCTGCATCTCTCCAATTTTTCGAAAAGTGCCAAAGGCTTTATTTCCCCCTCTCGTCTATTTAACTTACTTCAAAGCCAACGCCTGAGTTTCTGTAGGATATTGCATAGCCGTTATCGAATCGTGTGCGGTGCACAAGTGCAGTATATGCACATGGACACCTTTGAAAGACGCTTAGGACAGCACGCCAAGGGACCAAGAGGACTCTTTCGTGAGCAATAAACTGATTTACAGATGAGTTTCTTCTCAACCAGTTTAACTGGCCATTCGAAAAAAAAGGTGAATTCTCATTTTAGAGAGGAAAGGGAGAATTCGTGGCACTTTGCATGGCAGCGGTTGCAATCCCGTGGTGGCAACTAACGCTGTTGGCCAGCGAGGGTTCAACGCGGTGTGTCCTGAAGGCCAAGGAACTGGGCAAAGGTGTCACGTAATGCAGGAGAGCTGCACTTGTAGTTCTGCTAAATCAGCTGAGGGTGAAGTCTGTCATTGCCAACAGGGTTGTGTACATTACACCTTTACACCTTTGCTGCAGGACATTTTCCAGCTGGCTCGTTGGCCCATAAATCCACCAAATTAAACTTCAGCCCTAAGTGCAAGCTGGGGGCTTGCTGCAGATTTGAGCCTAACATTATTCAGGAGGAATGTAAATGTAATTTTCAAAACAATCTTGCCACTTTGTGCATGTTCATTAGATGAAAACACGTTGCTTAAAATAAATGTTCCTAAACTGAGGTGGAAAAAAAAAAACAACCCAACAACAGAAAGTGTTAGACCATCTTTAAATTATCAACCATTTATAGCAGAATATGAAATGGATTCATATGTGCAAATCCAAGTGATACGAAATGTCAATTAAATCAGCCCCAATCTCCCAAATACATTTATTGCCTGATTGATTAGGACTGCTCTTAAGGTGCTGGATAGTTTTCACTTTCACAAAGGCCTGCTGATTCCTTTATACGTGTCCACTAAAAACACCGACAATTCTTTAAAATGTCTGGCTCCATTTGCTTTCAGGATCTAGATGGAGTGAGTGTAGGACACAATGTGGTCTAATATATGAGTTGTGAAGAGCAGATGTATAAACAGTACTGTACATTTTAAAAAAAGACTAAAACTACGGTAGATTTAACCTGTTTTATTTTCCGAAGGCAAACCTCTATATAACTTCTTTGTTTTCTTTCCTATAGCAAGTCCACATGCAACACCATCGACTCTTCATTTTCCAACATCACCCATTATCCAACAGCCTGGGCCATACTTCTCACACCCAGCAATCCGCTATCATCCTCAGGAGACTCTGAAAGAGTTTGTCCAACTTGTCTGCCCCGACGCTGGTCAGCAGGCTGGACAGGTGGGGTTCCTAAATGTAAGGAAGCCGTTTTTCTTTCTTCAGAAGTGTTTGTCCTATGTCAAAAAAATAAATAAATAAATTAACCACGGGATTACGGGGATTATTTTAACAGCATGTCGCGTCCAGGAGCACGCCTTGAACAGTCGTTGGATTTTTTAAAAAATATGCTGCTACTGCAGAAGTATTTCAAAAAGCAACAAAAAGCCTCCCCAAAAAACCACTCGACCGCATTGTGGTGAAGCTCACGTAAAGTGTCAGAGAAGCTGACCCCGGTGACCTTCGGGGTCCCTCCACAAATGACTTTGCTGCATGCGTTGTAACCCTGGTGGAACCGGGGTTAACAAAATATGGAGGCAGAATAATTTTTATTAATTATTTTTGAAGTTCAGGGGAGAGCTGGGGGGGAAGGAGCAGGAAAAGGGAGGGTGAGAAACAGATGTTTCAGATCAGCTAAGTTCATTAAAAAAAAAAATACTGCCTTATAGCACTTTAGATCAAGTTGACCAGTACTTGAACTCAAGATGTTAAAAGTACAGTTTATTATGGTTTGTTATTTCTGTAAGCAGTTATCTTTTCCCCTTATCTCTATGAAAAATTAAGCAGAGTTCCAAAGCTTCAAATAACCATTTTCATTTTTTTTTAACGAAATAAAGTGAATCATCTTGCTATTATTGAAACAGCATTCCGGTCAAATACAGAATTTATAAATTTTATGTAAATCAAATCTAAAATAATGCTCTGAATATTTCATGAAATGTAATGCATGTAACTTTTTCCAGCCAATGAAGTAATAACTGGCAAAATTACTGTATCTCTCCTGACATACACCCAATTGAAAGTGTTAATGAGAATTAGTTTAATTATTAGCATCTAATTTATTGCGCTTATTTAATAAGCTATATTGTCCTCAGTGCTTTCCTTTCCTTAGCAGAAAAACTGACTCTACGTATTCCAGCCAGTGCTGGCTTTGAATAATGTCTGCAATATGTTAGCAGATACATTTATGTCTAGACAACAAATCAATATAGTGCTTTTCTTTTTCCTTGAGTATTCATTTGCTTAATTTATCCCGAACCATTCAGCGTTATGAACTGTTAGCACACTCCCAATGAACATACAGCCGGGGTCTTCTTGGCAGGAAAGGGAAATAATTGTGAGACAAGATAGTGTTTGAGAGATGTCACCAATATATCAGTTTATTAAAGGTAATACTGGGTGCTGGGAAAATAAATATCCCTGAAGGATCGCTTCTTACTGCAGACACCAGTAACTGCACCCTTTGAAGTCACTGGGAGTGCCGTTAAGTTAAATGCAGATGAATTTGAGGTTTATTTATGCCCTGGACCATTTTTGCCCTAGCACAAGGGTGATTTGCACCTCCGTGACTTGAAGGCCTTTTGTCAGTGCCAAAGCCAGTGAATTGAAAACAAGGTCCCGAGCGTTTGCCAGCAGGAGTGTTTTGTCCCCAGTAATTCAGGCTAATGGAAACCCTAACAGGAATTAAAATATTATTTTCTTTAGCAGTACTTAGAATATGGATCTGTGTTTAAAGCTGAGCTTTTATCATCAATGGAAAAGCCAATGCTCAGTGCCAGAAGAACTGCAGCGAGATCAATTTGCAGAGTGCTGTCGAAAGTGATCTCATCACTTTTGTCACTAAAAGGGAGCACCTGATTCACAGGCTGCCCTACTTTCTCTTTATAATGGCATTTGGCATCTCTCGGTATGGTTTTCAAGTGCCCAGGCTGTATTACATTTAAAATGTAAACTTCACAACTTGGGGGGAAGGTTGACTTTTTGGTTTTTGTGATACTTGAAAACACTTTTTCTTATGGACAGGTTTTTTGGTGAGTCAACGAAAGGCTGCACTTGCAAAGCCAGGCCCATTCTGCCAGTGACTGACCACATCCCACCATAAATGGAGGGGTTGTTTTTTTCCTAATGTGTAAAATGAAGCAGTTTTAAGTTCAGTAATTTCTCTGTATGATCCTAATGACAACTACATTGTGAGCTGCACTATTGCTAACTCAAAAGGGATGTGGGAGATTAGTTACTTTAAGATATACTCATTCATTTTCCTGTAATAAGATATCAGCATGACTTTTAGGACCACCAAAAATGCTTGGTCCTTTTCTTAACGAGCAGTACCTTTAAGAACTTTACACTCAAGTCCTAGGTACTGATGTAGCCCTAGGCAGGGGATTTAAGGGGTCAAAAATACTGCTTCAGCTCTCACCAAGCATGAGTTAGTGCCTGCAGGAAACGTAAAGGGTCGCAGAATTTAAGCCAGGGCAGTTCAGAGCAGTTGCTAATAGGACAAATGTTTAAAAAACAGAATTTCCATAGTTTCACAAGGTTCACAGGGCTTGTGACAGAGTTCCTTGAGGCCAGCGGACAATTTGACACAGCACTTTCTTTGCCACCTCTCAAGTAATGTAAATGTATTGCACATAGCTTTCAACTAGATTGTTATTACCCGAGGTTCCTAATAGCTGATTTTTAGTGTAATTTTTGTCTGTTTGCTTGTTTTTTGGCAGCCCAATGGTAGCAGCCAAGGCAAGGTGCACAATCCATTCCTTCCTACCCCAATGTTGCCACCACCACCTCCGCCACCAATGGCTAGGCCTGTGCCTCTGCCAGTGCCAGACACAAAACCTCCAACTACATCCACAGAAGGAGGGGCCACCTCTCCCACTTCTCCAAGTAAGTATAGACTCAGCGCGAACCAAGGGCTAACGGCAGCGCCCAACGTGCTGCCATCACCGCGTTTCGGCTATTGAACATGAGGCCTGGATGAGCTCTTGGGAAGTCCGAGCGCTCTCCACTCTGTATATGGTGGAAAAAATTCTGAGTTGCTTTTGTATAAAAGAGAAAAGAGTTAGCTTAAGGTTGCAGGTTTATTTCTTTGTTGGCATTTCACATAAGCACGCACGAGAGAAATGAAGGCCTGTAGCTCAGCCGTGACACAGACCTGGGAACTCTGGGACCTTGTTTTTACTGAGGCAGCCTGGTATCTCACGTCAGGTTTAGAGGGTAGACACTGCATGGAAGTCAGACAGATAGCCTCATCGAAAACATCTCTGCTTGTACATACGGGCTAAACTAACAACTCTTTTGAGGTCAGTTCATTTATAGTGCTTTGGGGAATAGGTCTTCCTAGATTAACCCAGACGTCTTTCCCTTGGTTCCCGAGCCCTGCATTTTCGGCAAGAAGCTATGGTGTTCCTTCAACCCAGGGAGAAAGCTTTAATCCTCTCTCCACCACCCACACGGCTCCCATATGTATTTTGCATAGCCACAAGTCAAATATACAAATTCCTGGATACACACTTGGGGATACCACTTTGGACTCACTCTGCTGGGAAACAAATGTGATTCAGCTGGGTCTGATGCTTTAAAAAGTCAGGATGTTCAGGGAGTTAATTGTGAAATGATTTAATGAAGCTATGCTCAAACTGACATTTAAAAACAAAAGGGAAGCTTTCAGTGCTTTAATGGCAACTGTAGGGGACTTGTTCCACAGTGAAGGGAGTCCAAATAACATCCACAAACAAAAATCAATCTAATCGAAAGAGCAAATCCCTCTGTGTGCTTTTCAAGCTTATTATTTAAATGCTATATGCAGCCACTGCTTGATGTGCAAAGAGGTATTGGCCGTTCAGACCACGCGAAGCCTACATTTTTAAAGCTTTATATACTGTTCAGGAGATCTGCGCAGGTTCCAGGGGGCATCTTTAAAATCTGGTATTTCTCGGAGTTTTGCGTTGCCTTCTGCTACGCAATAGTGCACAACTGCAAACTCAGCAAGATGCTCTGGCTCACTGAGAAATTAAAATGGGTTTTAGTATGAGACAGTCTGGTAAGATTGTGAACACGATCTTTTAGATTCAGGACTTCTCAAATTGATCAGCAGAGTTTTGTTGAGCTAAGAAGTTGATTCATTCCCTCCCCTCCTCTCTCTGACCTTAGGGCAGCGCTTGTGTATCAGGAAGTTTTGGTGCTTTCTGACGGGAGATACCGTCTTTTAAGTCCTATCAATAAAATTCAGCGGTGGAATCTAAAAGGTTAATGTTTACTCATAGTTATCGCTGAATATAGCCAGCAATGCCTTACTATTTCCTTGTCTTTCAGAACAGGGAAAAATGAAACTAGGTCAATGTATATTTGTTGTTACGGTTGTGACTCAGTTTACTGGCAGTGCGTGGTGTCTAAAAGAAAAAAATTCCCAACACCATTTTAGCAGTAATCTTAATACTTCATTTTTTTGTGATTCTGTGATCATGCAAACAAGCTAACTGCGTGTCTGGCCTGATTCTCAGCTGGCATAAAAAACCAACATTTGTCTGCTGAAGTTCGCCCGACACCACCGTCGGTGTCGGCGTGGGCCGGTCACTGCGGCTCAGACAGCTGCCATGTTAATTGGGATTTGGGGTTTTCTCAAGAGCAGCCAGTTAATGGTATTTAAACAAAAGATTAGGAAAATAATTATGTTTGTTAATTAGCTACGCTGATGTCTAAACATATAGTTCTGTACATATTCAGGCACGCATCTTCCTTTTGGGTAAGGGTTTTAAATAATAGCCACTTGAGTTGTAAAGAAGCATATAATTTAATTTAGGGACAAATTTTACAGAAAAGTCGATTATAGGAAATCTTTTCTAAGAAAAAATATTACGCATACAGCCAGTGGAAGTGGCTGGACACATGAAGAGTAAAACAAACCAAAGTTCCTCCCAGCCTCACAGGAAGACATTACCAGGAGGGCCCACTGGACCCCATTTAGTGTGCTAGTTCGTACCAACCCTCCTTTCTCCTCAGTGTTTATTTTTTCCTTAACTAAATATTAGCCCGCAAATAGCAAGCGCAGATTCACCAGAGTTTCATCAAAGCCGCACAAAAAAGGTGTTTTCCATGGTTACGAACCGCTCGAGCGCACTGGGAGTTCTCTGGGTTCTGGGAGTGGCGCCGGGCTATGGCTGAGTGCCCCACAGAGCTTTAGGATATTGGAAAGTCGCTCCTGCAACAAAGGCGGGGGTGATGTTAGATTTTGGCCAGACTCTCTCCTTCGCTGCGTGGAGGAGAATCGAGTTCCCCTCTAGGAAACGGAGTGAAAAGGGTTGGCATTTGCTCCGTTCTCCTTCCCTTTTTTGGTCTAGCAGAAAGCCCTCTGCAGATACAAAACGCACTTACGGCCCAACCAAAAATTGGAATATGGCCCTCCTGAGGGGCGCAGGAGCCAGGAGCAGCTGTTCAATACAGCGCGGCCTCTTGGGAACGAGAGCTAAAAATCACAACAAGGTGGTTAATGATTCTCAGAGCAATAGTGAAACTCTCCAGCTGTGACATTAACCAAAACACGAACATTAGTGCTGTCCAAGGAAGGAAGAGCCCCTGGAGATGCGCACCAGGGATTTGCTGCTACTGGGTGGCCAGACGTGCCCTGGGAATTGACATTTTCAGCTGTGAATCTCATCCCTTCAGAAATCTAGCATTTTCTTCAGTGAGATGACACAGTGGAGACGGGATTCATGAGGTTTGCGAGGGCTCATTTTTCCTCCATAAAGCACCTTTCCACTGAACACATCCTTGATACAAGGATGCAGCCCCAAAGTCACCTTATTTCAGATCTCTTCTCGATTTGGTTGGTAACCCGTAACAAACATAACACCATATTTTCTTGAATTTGACCGTTTCTGAATTAATAATTTAGTACCCAAAGAAAACCACCCTCACTAGCTGCCAGTTGGGCTTTGTCATAGCTGCATCTGAGTGTTACAATCCTTGGCCCTCATTCCAGTGCAGAGTCTAAGATACTGCCATCCTCCACACCATGGTTTTTAAAGAGCTTTTTTAAACTAAATGTTCTTTTCGAAGGTTCACAACATTTCATGGGGACAAACTTAGCTATTTCCCCTTGTTGGGCAAGATCGCTATCGGTTAATGTCCCTCTGCACAAAGGAGTTTTCGTGTTAAACAGCGTTTGTGTCAGGATGAGAAGAATGATCTTGTGGCTATAGCACAGGATTCATAATCAGATTGGATTTCTCTCCCTTTCTCCGCTATGCATGGACCCTCTGGGCAAGCCATTTTAGCTTTCTCTTTGCTCCTTTCCCCATCCATAAAAAGAGGGTGATGACTGTATCATTTAATTTGTTAGAATTTGCAGTTCCCTCTCAGATGCTCATCTGCAGAACGCGTTGTGGTAGGAATCGCTGTATTGCACTGGCACTTCAGTTAATTCTCTCTCTACAACTCCACAACAGCTAAACTGACTCCTAGTCCCTTGTGAAACAGCACAGCTCTTCATACCAAGCACGCGTACCTGTCACCTTGGTCCGTAAATGAGAGACCTAGTGATACCTCAAGTTATCGCTCACCCGAATCATCTTTGCCAGCCAAAAGTTTATTCCTTTAATCCAGAACTGTCTGAAAAACCACACACTCCTATAAGTATAGGAATACTTAATAGACATTATTTCAGGAAAGTATATTTTAAATTAACATTTTCCTACTGCAGGCTACTTTAAAACACATGACATTCCCAAAAGTGTTTGTTTGTCTTGTCTTTCATACAATTTCTTGCCATTTTGGCTAAATCTCAAAGCTGTCTGTGTGAGCAAATGTTCTTTCTCTGCCAGCTCCTGTTTTGCTTGTTCCTGAAGTGAAGCATCATAGAGAATTTGTGGCATCACATTCATTTCCTTGGCTATGGGCTATGATGGTGCAAACAAATCCTCAGTGAATTCCAGCAGCAGAAAGTCTAGGCTGGACAGGGAGGTGTTTCTGTCCCAGCCCAACGGGACAGCTACCAGCTGGAGTAAACTACTGCAGATCTGTGCAGTTCCCACGGAGCAAAGCCGATAAAGACCAGATCTGCCTAAGAGACCTGGCTTCTGTTCCTTTCCAAGCTTTGGCTTTTCTCTTTCCTAAAAAGAAGTCTGAAGATCCCACCATAGGCTTAGCATATGTATCCTATAATGTAAACCCAACTTTAACCAGCGAGAGCAGTTTGCCCCATCCCAATCTCAGGATCACAGAACCGTTATGGTTGGAAAAGACCTTTAAGATCAGCAAGTCCAACCGTTACCTAACTCTACCGTGCCCACACCCACCCCATGTCCCTGAGCACCATATCTAGACAGCTTTTAAATACATTTTTTCAGGAATCCCAGCTCCCTGTCAAACAAGAGTATTACGTGAAGATACGGCTAGAAGCCGTGTTGGCGATGGTCTATGCAACGCTGGGTACTGCTTCCTTTGCTCAACCAAATTTCACCATACCAGGAGTCACCACTAATGTTTATCCTGTGTCAACTTCATATTCTGAGCCAAAACGGCCCTTTACAGTCCACAAACTTCTCGTGACATCTTCCAGTGAAGCGGGATGAGCATGTGGGATGACACATTCCAGTGTCGAGCCTGCTCTGCAGAGCTGTGTTTTGGTACTCTTCACTTCTCAGCTCCAGCAATGCAGTTATATGACTTTGAGGAAATACCAAGCTGACATCCACGTATTTTCAGAAAGCAAGTTAAACATAGTTTGGAGCATTATGGAACAAGGGTATACATAGCAATTCACCCAGCAAGTTTTGAGGGGACTTTTATGCACATTTTACAGTTTTCTAATGCTTTTGGATTTTTATTTGAACAGAGAAGCCATTTAAGACAGCGTCCTGATGGTTTCCCTTTGATTTTCTACCAAATATCCCAGCAAGAGGATCTGCCAACAGGGAACTGCAAACAAGATCTTGAGTTGCTTCCCTTCTGAGTGGAACTTACCTGCTCCAAGGCATTAAATGGCCTCTCCGCTCATTCTGCTTCCTTAAAAGTAAACCAGAAGAACCAAACAACGTGTTTCATTTTTGAGATTTAAGTTAATTTTCCCCACTGCAGAAGAATTTTTTTTATTCTTGCACAACATAGGGTTCAGTAGTTAGTTAAAAAACACCTCCCTATAAAACAGTATAGAAGAACCTTAATGCATGACACTAGCAACCGAGATGTGCCCTTTGCAAATGTGTGGCTTCTTTGAATTATTAAGCAAATTAACACAGTAAAAAAGGCAAGGAGAACATCTCACCAAATCTACTCGGTTCATTTCTTCCTTGATTTGCAGATAGGAATAACAACCAGTGTACCTGCTCGTCCTCCACTATGCACGCTGCACTGCAATTTGCAAAACCACCTCGGAAAGATGAATTAGTGCCCTTAAAAATCCCTTTAAAACTTTGCGAAGGAAAGGTGTTCCTTGCATGATTTTTGCAAGTACTAGCAAAGCGTTAGCTTTTTTGGAGAGAAAGGCTCACCTCCCCAGAAACAACTGACAAGGATTAATTTTGAGAGGTCAGGAGTGGTTATCTCCCCCCAGACCAGTAAGAAATGAGGAGGTGCAGTTCCTGGGGTGGTTTTGGGGAAATGCTCTTGGAGAAAGTGAAGCTGTCTGATATAATTGTGAGAATTAGGAGAGGTTTGTGAGACTCGGGCAGAGAAGGATGCAGCTCTGTATGCTTGCAGACTCGGGAGCTCCTCACCAAAGGGTTTTGTGGGACGCGGGACGTTTGCGTGGGTTCAAGGGCAGACTGGGCATTCAACAGTGAGAAATTAAATTAAATACAGGGAGTCCCTGAGCTGAAAATAACCAGAAAGGTGGGAAAGACTATGAGAAAGTAAATAAGGGACCTGTTTGGACTCTTCCCTCTGCATCTGGTTATGGCCCCTGTAAGAGAGAGGACAGTGGCTAAGGTGGAGCATTGGTTTGATTCAGTCCAGTCTTAAACCTAAGGCTCCTCCAAATTAATGCCTCTTCACCCCACACTTTGCCTTCAGAATGGCAACAGGTTTCCATCTGCACAGACAACTCAATGTCTTCTCTGACTCCTAACTCGCTTTATTTTTCTGTAACATTGAGGCCTGAACATTATATTTAGCCTGACTGGAATTTGGCAAGTAACTTTCCTTGTAACATTGTTTTTTTGTCTCTTCATTGGATAGTTTGATTGTCAGGGGATTTTATTCAGCAGAATGCATTCCCATAAATATATTTAAAATAGAGAGAATCGCTGTTTGTATTAAGGCGTCTATTTAGGCTATTTGAATTTAGATCTGAACATGCAAAAAAAAAACTGAACAAGGGAGAAGATTACATGGGGAGGTTTCAAATGAGAGGAAGACTGAAAATGCAATGAAAGCTTTTGGATGTGGAAGTACGTGGCATTGTGGACAGTTGCAGTGGAGAATATAATGCAACAATAAAATCATTAAAGTACTTCTTCAAGTTTGGAAGTAATCTGGGTTCTTGGCTTGCATTGCATTTAATAGCTTTACATTTATGGGAGCCATTCCAGTTTTTAAAGGCAGCTTCAGCCTTCAGACTGATTGCACTTACCACCCCGGTGAAACTGCAGCCCATTAATTTTTTACCAAAAGGATCTTCCTAGTTTGTCAAACACATCAAGTGAACATTTTAGAGAGTGCAGACTGCAGCAGTATGAAAACCAAAACTTTTTATCGAGAGGCAATGTTGAATCAGCGTGAAATAAGGCTCTGGTTCTGTTAATAAGCACGTTAGTAAATCCACCCCATTAAAAACAGAAATACCACGTACTGGTGTGAAAAGTCAGGCAATACCAGTACCTAAGAAGTCTCCTGTGCTGTCCCAGCATGGAGAGGCCCCATGGAAAGTTCTCCTTGGGCTGGAGACGGCACGGGTGCCCCCAGGACACCTCTCCCTCGGCGCACGTCACTGCTGTCCCGCCCAGTCCCCTCGGTGTCGATATCCCCATCGTTGAGCCCAAACCTCTCTGGTGTCTACAACCAAACTCTTGCTCTCTAAAACGTTCGCACATTTCTATGTTAAACATCTGCTTAGGTGGCTCTGAGACAGTGTGTTTTGGTGTTGTTCGTGTGCAATCTAGTGCCGCTTCCTCAACGCATGTGTCCCTTCCCTTCACAGCCTACTCGACACCCAGCACCTCCCCCGCAAACCGATTCGTCAGTGTTGGACCACGGGATCCAAGCTTTGTAAATATCCCTCAACAGACTCAGGTGGGCCGCTTTCGACTTCTCTGTATGCCTGCAGCCTCTTCCTCCTCCTCTTCAGTGTCCTCTAACGTGTCCCCGCGGAGCCAGCTGCATTGCCGCTGTCACTTCACCCACATGGTCTCAGTAACTACAGCGAAATGTCACTTGCCGTTTGTTTGTCTGTTGTGTTCTTTTGGGCTTACATAGTAATAACGCTGCTTTTGTAACTGGAAAGATCTCTCTTGCTTTCTGAGATGTTGGCTTCTAGTTGGCGCAGTTGTTTTTTTCCTCTAGGACTGGGTTTTCAAAGACTTTTGCTCCAGCCTCTTCCCTAGGCAGTGCATTTAATTCGCACGCCCAAAAGGAGCTCAGAGAGACCCAGCAGGTAACAGCGCACCTTAGTCCCCCACCAGACTGCTCCAGTGACTTCCACGTTAAAAAAAAACCAGACTTAAATTCCTGGTTGGCTATTTGCATGGTGGGCTTTGAGCGAGCAGGGGATTTTGTAATTGCGAGCACATCTGTTTCCTTACACAAAGAGGGAAAGGTCCAGTTGAGGCAGGCCTATAAAGCTGGGTCAACCGAATTCATAGTCCTGCTATGGTCAAATCAGAAGCTCAAGTAAACATTTGTGTTTCTTTAGGAGAAGGACGAGGTTTAAATGTGCTTTTTTCCAAGCTGTATCAAATTCCCAGGGTCGATTAAGAAAATAGTTGTTGGCAGTTTTGTTAGCAGCTAATTTGAGCCAGATGTTGAAAAAATTAAGTCTGTGCTTAATATCACGTTATCATGGGGGAGAAGGTATGAAAAAGTGAGCAGAACTTCAGGACAGCTCTTGTTTGTAGTTTTAAGAGATTGCTTGACTACGTTACGATTCTTTTAAAGGTCGACAGCAAGACATAGTTGTAATTTTGTTTTGAGCTAGTTACGATGACTAAAGAAGTAATAATTCAAATAACGAGCAAATTGGGGACTGCTACTCTTAGCTCTTGTAAGTTCTTTCCAATCGTTTACATGCATCTGAATAATTAGAGTACAGATTAATGGCTTTCACATGCCACAGTCCCATATACGCATGAAGACGGCGTCCTGGTGGCGATGGCCTCAGCACCGATGCCGTCAATGAAACACAAGTCACTTGTTACCGAAGATTTTCGGTTTACAGGGCTGCAACCAGATGCCTGTGAACACAATGTGTTTTCTCGCTATCTGTTCTTTGTGTACAATTTGTTAGGGGCTTTAGTTTATAGCTCTGTCGACAGCACAGGTTAAACTACATCGAATCTCAAACCTTCTCTGCATTAAATAGGGTCACAGAAAGTACACCAGCAGCGCGGAGCAGTGTTTTAACCCATCAGGCTCTGATTTTTCTCCATGCCTTAACAAAATGCAGCCCGCACCCCACTTTTCAGGCCCCTTCCTTTATTCGGTTCGTGTACATGACAAGTTTTTGTACGCCTTCAAATTTAGATCATATTTCTCCTGTTGTTTTTAAACAACTGGAATACACAGAAATACACTGAAATGGGGAAACAGGAATGTGAAGGTATACTGCGAAAGTCCTTAAGCATTTGGTCTTTCCCTTCATAGCTCAGGAAACTCGAAACCCTTTGGAGAATGCTCCTTACCTTTTCCAGAAGACTTGAAAAACTAGTAGTTGGTAAATTGATTATGTAGTAAGACACAACAGTATTAAGTCTCCAAAATATTTGAAACTCACTTGCATCCTGCAGCCTAGGTTTCCTACTGAAGCCTGCTGACTGCAAACTTTCTTCCTTATTTATAACTTAAATAATTTTAAAGTGCTCTAGCCTTACTTTTAAGTGCTTCTGTGTAATGCAGTGTAGCAAATAACAGCGGTGTACAGTGAAAAACAATCCTCAAGCACAGCTTTCAGTTAAAGTCAACTGTGCTGCAGTGGGCGAGGAGACTGACTCCCAGTCTGACTCCAGCTGCATCTCCCTGCTTCTCTGCATCATTACACCGCCACAACCCACTTGATAATAAATATATAATTTATCAGCAAAACTCACTACTTATTAATGAAACAACTCTGAAGCTGACTGCGTTTTAAAGCAGGGAAGTGAGGTAAACATACTAACTGCAATGATTTGGGATTTGCTTAGAGTTCTTCTAAACAAAGGCATGCTTTTATTCTATTTTTGCAGGGCACTAGTGTATAGGACCATCACTTAGGATAGTTTCAAAATTAAAATCTAAAACCACATAGGACGGTTTTATTAAAAGCAGCCAGGGTGGCTGCCTTCCATCAGGATTTTTATGGTACAGTCAGAGTCAGCCTAAGATACAGGTCCTGAGGAGCACTAAGTGCCTGGACACACCGCTCCCTCAGACGAGGGGAACCAGTGAGCACTCAGAGCTCCTGAAAGTCAAGCTTAAATATAAGGGTTAAGCAACCCTTTACTGCTGGATCATCAAAATCCAAATGAAGACTATATCTGAACATCTGCTTTTTTAAAATTGCGGCCTGGCTACAAGCTGTAAGAAAGCATTATGGTCAGCTTTTCGGTGGCTCTGATTTTCTCTGCCAGTTGGTGGGTCATTTTGACTACAGGCACGAGTTATGCATCATGGTTATTAGCCTTAAAACGCTGCAAAAGTGAGTCTGTGCACGGGGATGTGACAGCGCCGTGCAGCAGAAGTCACATTTCCCATACATGGGCATTCACGGGCTTTCTCAGAACATTGGAGTAAAATTGCAGACAAATGTACAGCAGCGTGGCTGGGTTTGAGCAGGGATCATTCTGTCCCGGGCTGTTTTTAAACAGCCAAAACCAGTACATGCCTTTCCTAATGGGCATTATAAAAATTAGCAGTAGACTTTTCCATTAGTAGCATGTTCTAATTTATGTCGGATTGCTTCAAATATAATCCCTTGAAGGAATTTTATAGAATGAATAGAATATTTTATTTAGAAAAAGGCTCTCTTCCTGTGTCAACAAAGCAGGACGACAACTCCATGACAGAAGAGACCAGGAAATAAACTGATTTAATTGGTAACAAAAGCCCCAAAAGAGCTCTTGGCTTTTCTCTTAGCAGCTTCAAAACTTTTCAGTGGGTTTGTTTTTTCAGACACTGCCTCCACTTCTCCCATCCATCACTCTGCCACTCCAGTGGCTCACCACATAATTGTCCTATCTCGGGGGTTATTTGAATCTAAATTTCTGTGTGAGCTATTAGAAGAAACCCTTGACTTGGCATCCTCTGTATATGCTGACAAAAAGGCACAGGTGTTGTAACCTTTGCTTGATAAATCATTTACTTTTGCTACTTGACTCATGAGCAGGATGGGGGCATCGGCTTTTTAACTGCCTTTTCCATATGCAAATCAGAAATACAGTATGCCCGGGGTGCGCAGGCTTTAGTTTCAAAAGCGAGCGGCTCTGGATACCTCATGACTAAGTAATAGATACGGCTCTCGTATTGCCAAGGACTTGTAATAAGGAGAGTGGCAGAGGAATGGGAAAGCACCATCACATTAATTAGGGACTGGCCCGTCGGTAGCAACCACACTAATAAGGAATAAAGGGCCCTGAGTTTTGGGGTTAGTTTTTCTTTTTCCCCAGCCAAGGGATAAAAGTCATAGTGAGACACAGGCTATGTGCTCAGAGTTGTGCAGCTGGTAACACTAAACCAGCAACCTGCTCTGTGTCACCGGAGATTGCGTTGGTGCTCGCTGATCGCTTTGCTCTACCGTACAAAATGCCTTTAGGGATCGGAAGCATTCAGTGTGCGGCAGCCCCACTTCACACCAAACACTGTTTACTAGGCTGAGTCCTGTTTGCCACCTACTTACCCTGCATCTTCCTGGAAATTGTGCTTGGGATGCTAAAAACAGCTCCTGAGCAACACACGCCTGCTCGAGCTAATCCCTCCTACCTGCCCAAGTGCCTTACGCAGCAAAATTACGAGGATGCTCAGAGCAGAAACTGCTCCCACTGCAGGCACCAAGGCATAGGATCAACTGCTGTACCACCTGTGAGAAACTACACGGGTTTCTTCTCTGCTTAACAGAGAAAGTGCATCGTGCACCCTCTTGTCCAGCTGCTGCAGGGGAAATCCCGCTCTGATCTAACGATGCTTTGTATCAGATCCATCCCAGTGAGTTTATAAAACTGTGTGAAGCACAAAACCAAATATTTATTCCCTTACGTTTCTCTAGGTAACGATAAAACTATTTTCTAGAGGAACAAAAGTAGAAGCTCTTCCTGCATCTGCCTTTGCACCATCCCAAAGCCATCAGATCATGGATAGGAAGCCAAGGTCTCGTCTTTCCACACTCTCCCTAGAGCCACCCTCCTACAATATTGTTCTGAAGAGCTCATCCTTTGTAACTCAAAACAACTGAAACAAAAGGCCCGTAATTTACCTAGCACACTGCAAGAAAGTATAAGAAAACCCCCACAAGTCAATCAAGCTGATCTAGGCAGCAAAGTGACCCCTGGTATGAACAGCAGCAAGCTCAGAAGCATGGCCATGCTCTTGCTACCAGCCTTATAAAGACCAGGTACAAAAATGCCCGCTGGGAAAACACATCTATAAAAGAGCAGTGCTGCTCTGCAGTAAGTTAGGGGTGAGAAATTACTGAAGTTTAGCAAACTGTTTATAGTATAAGGAAATTGCTAACTTCTTTAGATCTGCTCCTGTTGTCTGCCTTTCCTGAATTAGATAGTGGTATCTTTGGAGCCGCTTCTTTTAGGCTTTTATTTATCTCTGAAAAACCACCTTATGCCTCAGGTGCATACACAAACCTAATTGTACAATTACTTTGTTTTCGAGAGACAAGGGAAAAAAAAACTATTTTACTTCTCCACGACCCTTTTAGGAAGCCAACTGCAACCTGCTGTTTTTCACTGGCAGCGCTTTAAAACAAAGGGCACGGGAGGAAAAAAACGAGCTTTATGTCATGTCCTGTAGGTTAGCAGATGTGAGCTCTGTCAGGCAAGGGAGGGGGGCAAATTCCAGCCTAGATGGTGCTCCTGCAAGAACAGCCAGTCGCTGCT